AAAGCAAAACTGCAAACTTATCTCCGCTTCCTTCCATAACTGCGGAAAAAGTATGTTGCCAATAATTTTTTGGCAATATTCAATGATGGCATTATTTATACGTTAGAGAATTTGAAGCCAATGCGGTATGCAATAAATGTCGGAGGGTTCAACTAAAATCACATAAAGCCATCCTGAACGGTTGGCAAAATATAGAAATATTCAAACTTATAACCAATATGCCTACGCCATTTGTTTAGTTTTGTAGCCTTAATAGCTATTAAAGATTTTTAAAAGGTCTCCATATTACTTATTTTTATGTTAGATTAGCGCTACTTTTACTATCATTAGTAAGTAGTATAATTAGTAAGTCCAGTAATAAGAGTCACCAACGTATAGCAGAGAATTTGCACTACTAAACTACGTACTACACACAAAAACTCGGAAAGTAATTGCCCGACATTGAAGGTAAAACGAGCGATATGAGCCGCAAATAAACTAAACCAGCCAGCGTCGTTTTAATTGTTCGAAATAAATTTTTAACTTTCTTTCCTTCTAAACTGCACCCTCAGGGTATGAGAAGTAACATTACATGCTCTCATTATATGTACGTCTAGATTCCTAGTCCTTCAGGTCAACACTCAACCCAGCATGATCAGTCGCGGGAATAAGCACGTATTTGCAGAAAACCGCCTTTACGTTTTGAGTAGGTACATTGATATATGGATATTCGTAATTTTAATGTCATCCCATCATCAATCTAATAAATATATTCAGTTCTCTTATAAATATATTTATAACTATTCTAATAAATATATTTATAATAAGGTAAGATTCTTTATTAAAATTTGAATTTCTGCCATACATTATTATTTTCGTGCCTCTTATATAAATATTCACGCCGTGAAAGCCCTGACGCGATTTTTTTTTTAATTTAGTGACGGTAATATATGAACATCAGGATAATTGTGCAAAATCTACAGCCCATGTTCATCGTGAATGATGTACTTACTTTGAAGATAATATTTTTTTTATTTTTATTGATATTTTTTCAAAAGGTGCAAAAGTTGCCGAGTTGTGATTCCACAAAATTTGCAAATAACGTGGTTATTTTGCTAGCTTTGAGTCATATGTTCTTAATCTCATAATGGATCATTGCTTTTTTTTTCAAGGGCTATTATCAGCAGCTTAAACCGTTCGGTAGTTGAAATTTCTAGACTGGGTGTGCAAGCAGGAAAATATAATTACTAGATTAATCGATTGTTCGTCTCAAAGAGGTGTTTTTGAGGATAAAGGTTCTTTTTCATTCCAAAAGAAATAAAATTTTCTGAAGTATATTTGAAAATCACTTAAATACAATTTCTTACACTTAAGTATTTGAGACAAATTTACATTTTGTTACCTTTCGTTTAATTAACTATAAATAAATTCAATTCCAGCCATTGGAAATTTCTTCGTTTTGCAATTATTGCAAGTCCAATAAATTTTGTTTAATTAGATCAACCACAGCTGCTCTTATATTTTACTATGCGAAGACGTTGAGGAAAGAAAGGAGTATTCTATTCCCTTTCACTTGTTTCTTCTTGTATACTCAAAAACAAAAACAAAAATGAAGCGAGTATTTACTTACATTAGTTAGCACGAAATACATTTATTTCATTTAATAACGTTGCGCAATAATATAAGAAAAATTTATGGCCGTTTTCCTATACGATCTACAGAGATATTCAACACAATAAGCATCTTCTGCATAGATTGAATGAAAAAGCAAATTTGTACAAAATAAGAAATAAAAGCCTGACCATAAGCCAATCATAAATGGCAATCTGAACAATTAATTCCTTGACGATGAGAACTCTAAAGTATTCGAAACGTCGGGATGAAACCAAAATTAAATGCAGCGAAATCCGTATTAAGTTGTTTTGTTTAACAATACGGTTTATTTTCACTATCTATAAGTTCTTCATTGCCCAGACCCCGCTGTGTTTAGTTATAGGCTCTATCGAATAACTTTTTATTGGTATTGTCTAGGGAGCCGATTCAATTATAGAACTGGATATTAAGTCAAGTTAAATCAAGTGGAAAACGGATAATATCAAATAATTCTCACAAGCGACGTAGTACGCTCAAATTGTAGTATAATTAAACGAACGGGAATCCTTGCCCATAAACTTGTTGCGAACGGTCAGTTTATTGTAGATACTTTTAAAGATGGTAGGGTTACACAACAGTCCTCAATGTTGCACCAATGGGCAGGTATGTCTGGGGAAGTACGACGATCTCACAGAAGACCGGCGTGAGGTGGAAGTGTTATACTGATGTGTTTCGTCTGTTGATACAGGTAGATGGGGACCACTTTATTAAAAGGCATCTGTAACTCTACGCGTGTTGCTAATGACCATGGGTGGTGGTTATCGCTTAACTTCAAGTGAACTGCCTGCCAGCTTGCGACCTTGTAACATTAAAAAAAGTCCAACTTTATTTTTCAAACATAAAAAAAAATATACATTTGGTTTCATGTACGAAACCAAATGTATGTATATTTTTTTTTAATTAAAAAACTGGCTAGCACTTGACTGCCATCCCACCTGATGGTAAGTGGCGATGCAGCCGTTGATGGTAAGCGCGCTAGCTCAGTAGAAACCTATTCACTCTTGCTTTGAAGACGCCAACGTTGTATTTGGACGGAAAGACGGACGCAGGCAGGCTATTCCATTCGTTAGCTGTACGGATGATAAATGAAGAAGCGAATTATTTTATTAGCGATCAGTTCCGGCTTCACTCGGGTGCTACGCGGATTAACTGTTCATACTTTTTATACGTCTTACGTTAAGTACGTAACCAATTTCAATGATTTACCACCAAATGGAGAAAGTTTTTCAAATAATTGTATTGCTTCTGGAGATTACCATACGCAATGTATAGACATCAAATGGATTTGGACTCTTTCCTTGTGTAGATTAACTAAGATACAATATGTATACCCCCGGTGTCTATGGACCATAAAGGGGTGAGATAATTAAAACTATTCATGTTAATAAGCTCTACGCGTTCAAAAAGTCTAGACCTTTTCTGTGGTAGGGCCACGCATCAGCTTATTTATCACATATAAAAAAGATATTTAAATTTGCACTAACGAACCTCGATAAGATTAATGATTCCTCTCGAGAGTAATGATTCTCCTCAGAACAACTTTCTTAGGTGCTCGGTCATGGTTGTGATACATTTTTAGATTTTTTAGATTGGGCTTGATGAGCCACTGTTGGCCTTAGTTGCCTTTACAGTTTCATGTGATACATACAGGCATTACTGAAAACAACCGGAGGAGATGATAAGCATCATAAGCAGTTATTACAGCCATTGATGGGCAGCATCCTTACAGCTCACCTAAAATAGGTGTTTTTAAAATTTATGAGTTTCAAATGTGTTTTCTTATCTGGGGCAATGGTCAGTATTTACGTTGAAGTTTCAATTTTTAATATATAGTAATAAAATTTTAAGAATAATTAACGTAAGAGAAATGGCGAGCATTTCTTAACCGAATTATAGTCCATTTTAAAATGAAGCGAATTAAAATTTATAATTTTATTATTATTTATTACATTAAATTGGTACTTTTGAAAAATTACGTATTACATAAAATCTTTGTATTTGTGTTTTATTAAATACATCGCAACTATCTACTTACTGAGAGTTTGAATATCTATGAAAATATTTAATAACTTAACATTCTATTTTAGAAACGTCCAACTTAAGATTCAATAAAATTCTTAATCAATTTGAAATCACCTGATGTTAAGTGAATACCGCCGCCCATGGGCATCTGCTTCACCAGAGGGTTGCAGATGCGTTCTTTGTTTCACAACCTTTTGAAAAAAGCTACGGCTATATCACTCACCAAGAAACGCGAAATTATTTATTATACTTCCACTTTACGCCGGTCTTCTGTGAATGATCTCACTACTTACTTACGGTACTTACCCGAACGAGCCTGCCCATTCATGCAGATCCTCCCTAGACCAATGGTTTTCTCATAACTTCTTATAATCATATTTTTAAACCCCGCACAATTGTTAAAAAAACAAAATTAAAATTTGATGATTGGGGAACAGTGGGTATATATAAAAGTAGGGATTCACTGTATGAATTATATAATATGAGGCAGTGGAATCACGACCCTAATTTCCATAAACGGGTACAACATTTTTCAAAAATATTTAAAAAAGGCTGTGCAAAATCTATCTACATAAGAAATAGGATTTTAAATTCTAGTAATAAAATAAAATCAACATGGGACATCATTACCTGTATATCTGGAAGACCCAAGATATTCAGGGAACCTATAAAGCTAGTGATAGGCAATACACCCATAACTTCAGATAACGAAATTGCAAGTAGTTTTGAAAGTTATTTTTCAGAAATTGCAATTAATGTCACATACACGTTAAAATCCTCTCCTATTGATGAAATTAATGTATTAAAAAATAATGTTACCTATTGTCGACAAACGTTTAAATTTAATCACATAGATACCAATGATATTATAAAAGTTTTGAATTCTATTAAACTTAAAAATACAGGAGATTTGTGGGGCATGTCCATAAAATTAATGAGCACAATATTGCCATATGTTGCACCATATTTGGCATATATTTTTAACAAATGTATAGATTCCGGAATATTTCCAGATCTTATGAAATTCAGTAAGATAATCCGTTTTCAAAAGAGGGGATCAAATGATCAGATAGGCGGTATACTAGCTAGATTACTACAGCAAAGTACCTATATGCGTAGAAGCATGGATGTGGAAGAGGCAAAAGTCGTATAGAAAAATGATTGAAATTGGAAGTCCGAAAGTCTTGACGACGAACGCAACAGTTTAGGTTCGTGCGTAAAATTATTAAACAAGTCCAGTCCGTGCAGATTACATTTTCAGTCCACAAAAGCGCTCTTCGAAAAAGTAAATGGCCATAAATTCATTTAGCTCGGCCCAATGTGGGGGCTAGCTCAGCTACAGGAGAATGTGGGCCTACATCGTAGCGGCGGCGCGAGGAGACCTACGCCAGACAGTGAGCAAGCGTAGCTCCGTGCCCAAATCCAACGACTACACGTACTCGTAAGTTTGACGTTATCTGTGCAAAGCCTGTGTAATACTGGGTCACATTTAGCTATTTCCGCACACTCGATACAATAGTGCCACACGTCTCTTTAAATATTAAAATAACTGTTTGTTTATGCACTTGAAATTTGTCTCATATAGATTTTGAGACAACTATACGATATTTCTCTATAAATTTTACTAGGGTAGTAATAATGATTAAATAAATATATTTGATTAAAAAAATGATCATGCCTTTTGAAACAATACAGCTGTTAATTATTTGGCTGCTCATTAATCTGTAATTTGCCCATTTACCTGTATAATAATCTAGCTGTCAATATGGCGTCGTCGTCGTCGCATCATTAATTATATCCGAAGACAGTATAATTTTACATCCCAAGCGCTTAGTTTTACACTCGATAGCTTCGCACACAATGCACGCATTTGCATAAATGTTAACACACAGTTGAACGAATCATCCACCCGGTTACTCTAGTGTGGCGCAACCCTAATTGCAAGTGTAAATGTAAAATATGAAGTGTGCTGTGTATTAATTACTCCGATTCCACATGATTCCCTCCGAGTCTGCAAGATTACACCCAAGCTTTGTGCATTGTGATAACTAACATGAAAAATAAGTTTGTGCCTGTGGCATCCTACTTGAATACAACTTGTTAATGTTGACTATTATTTTATTATCCACAAAGAAATAAAGAAAACAGTGAACATATGACATGTACGTTTTAATTTACTGCGTTTAATTTATTTATTTTTAATTATTGTATGCAATATTAAGTTAAATAACTAAATTAACTAAAGAAATCTTTCACAACGAAATTAAATTAATTACGCTTCCATTCATATTTTCATACCAGTAATATATTATTATTCTTTCGATGAAGTTATTACTTACTTTTACTTAGTTTTCTCCAAAGAACAGAAAGTTATCCAATACCTTGTAGTATAATATGGTTTACTGATAATACCAAAAGATTTAGAACCCGTGACTACTAAGAAGCATGTCGTAATATACACTGGTAACAAACATACTTTTTTATAAGGAAAATTGGAGGATTTTGAGAAATTTTAAACAATGGTTTACTACACCATGTAAATCTTTAAAAAATATTATATTGCTATAAAAATAATTAAACTTTATCAACAAAACTAAAACCACGGGTAGGTATAAATGAATACGATTTAGTTAAGAATCAGTATTTAGTTACTTTTGGATATATTCATGTCACTGGTGCAAGCAGATCGACTAGCATCGTATATTTTTTAAAGATTGAAGCTGACGGCATAAAAGGATTGGTTAATCTCTCCTAAAACGTCTGTCAAAGCTTTTTCACCCCATTACGTAATTGATTCCCAAAAAGGAGAAGATGCCACGCTATGGCCATTACATGGCATCGCCTCCTTTTTGGGAATAAAGCAAATCCACTTGGATGTGCTTTCATCCGTGCAAACAAAGACTCTAAAAGCGCAATATAGGAAAAGCAATTTTGTACATATACGGGTGTTTTATACATAAACAAAACTACCCGTAAACTCGAAAGGAGGTTAAATGGGGCCTTATAACGAGTCCATTCAGAATATTTAAGAACCGTAGCAACGCGGTGTGACATACCTTAAAAAAATAAAAAATATATTATTATTTTCACTGATGTGCAACCCTATTTCAGTAAAATTAAGGAGTAAACTACGCAGAATGTATCTACATTTCCACCTAATTCGCGGATAAATTTTAAAAGACCTAACCTAATGAAACAACGTAAATGAACTTACTTTCTCATAATAAACGTCAAATTTACAGAAATGGCTCAGTGTGCCTTGCTCAATACGTTGTGTATTGAGCAAGGCTTGTGTGGCTTTTCGCACCATCGCATCGTCGGTGTTATTGATGCGAAAACAGATCTAACACGCTGTTCCATCTCGGCAACCGTTTGGCAATTGGAGAAATACACTCTGTCCTTCACATAACCCCTTGTACTTGAGTATAATGCCATCCTTGTATTGAGTTAGCAAACATTTATGAATGAAAAATAGAAAAACTATTAATGTAGACAATTATTAGGTAAAATAGGTACGTAGGCCTTTCTCTTAAATAATCTGCTTGCCTGACACAGCTTGACGTGACAGCTTACTAGGGTTGACAAATTTTTTGGCTTTGATACTTAATTGTATTTTTTAGGGGGTATTTTGTAATACGTTGTATTATTATACATAGTGTGAGAATAAACGTAAGTTCACGTATTACAAATAAAATCTGTCACAGATGTTTTCATTATCATTCATATCAATTAAACACGTAAAACAAAGAAAGCGTAGAAATAAACAATTGAATATCGCGCTGTTGAACATTCGGAAATTTTCATGGACATTTTATAAAAGGTCCTAAAGACTTGTTTCTTTTGTTGAAGGGAATTATTTGAATTATTCTGTTAAAAACTCTACGTTCACGTTTCTTTATACCTTATTATTTTAAACATATGAAGTTGCTGTATTTTAACGTAATAAGAAATATAGAGTTTAGGAGACAAAGTGATCGAATAGATTTTTTAATAATCTTCGTAACTATTAATGTACCACTCATTATCATTAAAACTAACATCAGAACGAAAGATGTGTACAGAAAAGTTTAATAGGTTATTATATTAGTTGAAGCCAATGATGTTTTAAAAGATGACGCATGTCCATACTGCGTGTCATTAAAAATTGATACGCTTTACATTATATGACATATACAGGGAGGCTTTCCTAAGTGTGTCCATTTTTTTATTAAATTCTAGACATAAAAATGTTTTATAATAATGATAAATATATTAATTGCACTCGTAAGCAATTAATTACATTCATTTGAACTTATCTCGAAAGTGCGTGATTTATACGCAACTCATTTATTTTACGCGCGATCATTCATAACTAACACGCACACAAGTTCGTTTGTGTGCATGAACAGTAAAATTTATGTATTTATGAATGACTACCGCGTTGTCAACGTGTTCTGTTTTTTAAGGAATAGAATGGTAATTATTTAAAAAAAAGATGTTTTTATTTCATTAAACGATTTCAATACCGAGTCTGAACGTCCTGTGTAAAGAGCACCTTTAAAAAAGCCTACCTGTATAAGTGAATGTGACATGATATAGAATATATGATAAAAAATGTAATAAAAGAAATCGGAAACATAATATTAGCCTTGTAAAAAACCTAGGATAATCACGAAGGTTTCATCTTTTTCTTTCTCCTGCTCTTTCCTACTATATGTCTATGTCATAGTTAACCCCGTTACCATCAATTATTTTGTTTATCGAATCGGAATAAAAAATAAACACAATAATTTACGGTAGCCGGGGTTAACTATGTCATCAAGACGTATAACAACTTAGTCTGTCCCGTGACCATGAACGCTGGAAAGGGTTCGAAACGTCGGGAGTTCAAAATTAAAATAAAACAACGCGATTAAATTTGTAAACTAGTTTCATTTAATAAATACTTGTCCCGTTAGGAAATCGAAAAATTGGTGCTGAATCTGAAGCCTTCACAACTGTGCCGCCGTACATTCAATACTGTAACCTCAATTGATTTGAATATTTTCAATATCTCAATACAATTTGATTTACGCTGGTTTTAAATGTACAAGCGGTAGATGAAGGTGAAAAAATCAAATATCGAAGTAATTTGTTATGGAATTTACTATGAGGCACCAAAGAATTTTTGGTGCCTTAAAAGTGGTGCCTCCTTTAAAAATTCTTTGGTGCCTCATAGTAAATTCCATAACAAATGCGGTTTTACCGTGAGTCAGTCCAGTAAACATTTATAATACTCGTGATATCTTATTTAACATTATAATACTTTTATTAATTAATATAAAGTTTAGTTCAAGTTTTTAATTCTACAAACGAGTAAAATTCCAAAGACTGTCCATATTTCCATATTTAAAATAAATTATCGAGCTCTATGGTCTTAATGAAAGGGCATCATTCGCAATTTTGGACCCATCCGTCCCACCACAGTATTCAGGTGGTAGGTGTACGTGAAAAGCTACACTAACAATACGCCTACACAAAGTACACGCGCATTACAGGGCGGTTCTCACCACCCGACCCCAGTCAACGATTGTCACAGTGATTGACCATTGGGGTTATGGTCGGTTCCAACCTCGGTCATATCAGTACGCATACGTGGATGGTCGTACCAAGCTCCGGCGGTGCCACGACCTCTGCATTCGATGAAGTCCACAGACTGAAATGAAAAACATCAGTTACATGAAATCAAAAAAGAAGTTAATGTACCATGTTTTTATGGCAGGCTAAAAAGTATGAAACCGTTATTTAAACATACATTAAGGGTACAATTCACCACGCGATCCCACTGCGGATTGGAATATTTCGAAATATTTCTTTTGTTATTATTTAGAAAATGTACAGGTTTCCTCACAATGTTTTCCTCCACCGCCGGGCACGTGATAAGTCAGCACTTAAAATAAAAAATTTCATCGGTGCCAACACCGGGGATGGAACTCAGGTTGCTCGAGGATATTAAAAGCGAGCTCCCGGACAGTGAGCAGTTTAACTACTAACTAAATTCAACCCGGATAAACGTACAATAAAGCGAGTTAATAAAAATAAAGATTCAGATTTTTCGTAGTTAAACATGCCTCACAAATATATAAATCAATAAATACGAATATATGCATACAAGTACATAAATAAGAATACCTATTTTGTTTAATGAAGTTCGTCGGGAAAAATGATTTTACAGACGCTAACGTGTCTGTAAAAGTTCTGTATTAAACTTGAATTTAACGTCCGGCAACAAAGCTAAAACGAGAATTCTAAAGATGTATTCCTGATGATAAAGAAATTCTATCGGAGATTAAAATACTAACTTGCAATTAAGTTACGATTAAGACAAAAGCAAATATAATGTACCAAATACATACTTACGTAGACCAACCGATAAATATCTAAAATATTAATGTATATGTATATAACTCTGTTATTAATATCTGTATATATAACCAGTTGGTTTATCTCACACATCACATCTCTTTCACACATACACACAGTTGTGTGTGTGTGAAAGAGATGTGATGTTACAATTTAATTTAATGCGTTTTCAGACGGATGAATAAGGTATTGAACTTGGCACTTACAAAAAACTGACGATAATATTCCACATTTTAATATTAGCTGATTAATAGTTACTAGTAGTGGTATTGTTTAATAGTTACTTCCAACTTCATAGAAAAATGGTCATGCTATAATTTTGAACTGCTATCCTCAACAGGGTTATCGATAAACCGATATCTAATACCTTTAAACGAGCAATTCTTGCATATATATATCGGAATCTCGGAAACGGCTCCAGCGATTTTCATGAAATTTCGTGGGCGTAAAATCGATCTAGGCTAGGCTTCTTTTTTAGAAAATGTCCCTGTTTTCAGGGAATGAAAAATATCATTCGAATATGACGGTAAATTTCGCCGAAAAAAATGTTATAATAGCTCGGTCGGCCGCGGTTCGTGTCACGATCACAGAATAGACGATTTACCGAAAAAAAAAAACCGAGAAAAGCTCGGTCCTCCAGGTACTATATTTTTATGGAGGAAAAACTGTTTGTTACTTCGCTTACTGTTAGTATTGTCGGTGATAAGGTAGACAGAAACCGGCGTGGGGTGCAAGTATAATATTTTCGCATTTTGTCTGGTGACTGAGGTTCCTCACATTTTGGAAAGGTCGACAATGCATAACTCCCTCTTATGTCCCCGAGCGCGGTCAATCACTTAACATGAAGTGATAAGCCTGCTCGGTAGCCAAAGTTTTAAATAAAAACCGGTCAAGTGTGAATCGGACTCGCGCACTTAGGGTTCCGTACCATTATCTATTATTCTGTTTTTTAGTATTTGTTATTATAGCAGCAACAGAAATTCATCATTTGTAAAAATTTTAACTGTAACTATTACGGTTCTACAAAAGTAACGGTAAGAACTTTAGTTTTGCTTTGTGCCTGTTGTCTGTGAACATGTGGTACTCCCACTAATATTTTTATAGCGAAAGCATGCTGATATTATAAAAGAGAAATTTGTATAAACTTACGTGTTTGTTACCTATTCATGGCGCAAGTGTCGCACTGATTTGAATGAAATTTAATATATGCGTAAATATTAAACTGGAAACATAAAAAATCACAATAAGCACCACCATTATATTACTTGTATATATTTGACTATAATGATTGTCCTTTTGTTTTGTTTGAACAAACCAATTATGTATTACTGGACACCGATTCTATTAATATGCACAAACATGACTGTTAAATGCCATTCTTGATTTTTTTGTCATTCTTACGTCACCCTCGCTCTGTTGCAGCTACCGCGATGGGAAGATTTTCACTCTGCCGAGTTCCGGAGTACCACAGCCTGGTCCCTCTGGGGTAAGCGAGATGACCAAGAGCCCCCAGTATCCCTGCGCAAAAAAACCCATAACGACGAGCGCACTAAACCCCCTGCACATGCAGCCTAATTGCAAGAACCAACTCGAGGATGGGATCGAGCCCTTTGATGAAGTAAGTCATGACAGCCTTCGCTTAATGTTTGTAGCAATTTGCTACAGCAAATAGGTGTCCAAGTTATGAGCTTCACCTGTTTGGAGCCGAGAACTTTGCGTGTCTGTGTATTTCTAATGTAGTGATTCAATTCAATTTCAATCCATTTCTGGATACAGAAACCCTTGAAATTTTACCAAAAAAAATTACGGTAGTGGTCATTCAATAGAGATTTTCGATTTTCACTTGCATGATCAAGTTTCAGTGACCAACAACGATCTGTCTCCCGTTTATCGTATTCCTTTACTGCATCATCACCATTCCACATTCCTCGGTCGATGGAAATGCCAATTAAAGTAAGACCAAATGTATAAATATCCAGATTTTAGCTTTAAGCTAAATGGCCGATTGCCAAAACGACGAAAATCTCAACGTCTTTTACGTTGAGATTTTCGTCGTTGTTAGGTTGTTTTCTCGCGTTGTTTATGCTTGGCACACCCATTGTTACATCCTTTACAGCATACAAACAATTTCGAATAACGCTTTACAATATTTCGAAAGAGGGATGTCGCCATTTCTATTAGAAATTTAAGTTTTTGTAGTGCTAATTTCTGAATTTAAGTTGAAACTTTTTAATTTTTTTGAAATGCGAAAAAAATATGTATGTATAATACGATGATATTTTCGTCGATGTGGCCAATCAGCCATTTAGCTTTGTGGTTAAAGTGTCTGGGAGGGAATTCGGAAAACGTGGGTTCGATTCCGTTTTAATCATTAATTATGAATTTATTAATTAAAATATTAATTTAAATATTAATTATGAATGTTTTAATGATGAAGAATTATGGAAGTTATGGCGAACCGACAAAAAATACAACTTTGAGAAATAATATACAGAGATTTAAGGCTTTAAGCTAGCTGGTGGGTATTGTTTATACCACTGGAGTTTGTTTTTCCAGCTTTAGTTTTTTCCATAAATTTATAAAATACAAATGTAAAAGGAAAGGTAAATATAAAAGTAATTTTAACAATATTTAACAATGATCAAGAAAAAATATTTTATACGCAACTTTATTGAAAGAAGTTTTAGTTTTAATTAACATCGACAATGATATAAGACTCCGAATATCACAATTATTATAGGATTAACTTTCAACTTTTGAACATTAATATTTACACTTTTAAACACATGCACTACTAAAACATTGAATAATACGCTAGCGCCTATTCAATTAACATATAAAGAAATATCAGTAGCCAAATTTTAATAGAGGAGATGACATTGTCACTTGGGTAGGTACTTGGAGCGTCGGCCATAGAGTCAAAAATGTAGGATCCTTGCGTAAGACGCGGCGTCCATACAAAATGCTGTACGCACGCAAGGGCACGACCTCGACCCGACGGTGTTGCGGACACCTCGAGTAAAAGCCTCAAGTATCGCAAATAAACGTCAAGTGGCTCTCGCCGGTGCTCCACACGGATGGACGCTCGGCGTCGTATGCCCCTAGCCCCTAGAGTTATCCTGTCCGATCGATACCCCACGAGGCACAAACGACAGTTAACTTTCTCAACGTGTGATGATAACCTTCAAGGAAGGTTAATAATCTTATTTGGAATTAAAAAATGTCTTCCTATAGAAATTATTGTACAATGAATACGTAGAAAATAAAAATTAAATTCTTAATTTTAGTATAATTTAATTATTTACATGCATCGGTAATAAATAACGGGTTTAAGTTAAATCTGTTGTTTTCTTATCATACGAAATATACGAATTGGACGTTGAAGGCGTGTGGAAAGTTAATAATAAATTCACGTAAAATATTGTTATATTATATACAGCGTGTCTTTACAATCGCGACAATAAATGAATACACATATAGAGGATAACTTTTTAAAATTGTATTAAACATCTACATTCTTTAAACATCAATATTTACAGAGTTATTAAATTTTCCAAAAACGAAGAATTTTAGAACAACCTTCCATATAAAACTTAAAGTTCATTTGTAAAGGTCACAAAGCATATGAATGGGTTGAATGAATTTAAAAGAGACAAAATATACTGTTAGAAGGAGAGGTTTGTAATGCGACGCTGTGGCGCGAGTTGTATAGGATGTTACAAATTTTGTTTCTTTTTTACTTAATTAGTTTGTTTGAAAAATATATTTTTTTTAATTATGGATTTTGTTTAACGTTAATATTTTTTAAAGCTACGAGCCAATAATGGCTCGTAGCTTTAGACGTGTGATCATTTATTGTCGCAATGGTAACGACACGCTGTATATTCACTCCTTAATTCAATTAAGCCCCCGAACAGCAAAGAAACTTTAAGGCACCGGGGTTGATCAACTTAATACATTCAGTTTTAAAGGGGGCAATTAGACTTATTACGTACCGCGGAGGTGGTCGGGCAATCAGTATTTACGACGAAGTCTACGGTGAACGCGTCATAAACGTGACATGGGGAAGCGGTGTGGCAATCCTCATTGCCCATTGTTTCGATGGGGCTGCCTTGAGCACGCGCTTGCTGTCCATTATTTTTAGTTTGGCCGCTCATTCTCAATTCGGCTGTCAGACCAGCGGGCGCTGGGTCGGGGCAGTTTCTGACGGTCCCCGGTAATTGGGAAAATAGATACACGTTCGAGAACGATTCTCCTCATTCAATAGACGCATCCCCCGGGCCGTACGCGAGACGTGTTAACTGAATACGTTTAATTAAGGCACTGGGCGGCCGACCGATGTCGTGACTTGCCCCTACTCACAATTACTCGATACCGATCTGTAACAATTCGCCGACGAGCCTTAATGACTCAATTTCTTTCGCGTACAAATTCCTGCGGCCATCCACGAATTGATAGGAGTCGCGTGCGAAATACCATGTATATGTAGAGTTCAGAGCCGCGCTATCGTTTGATGTCCGGTGAACATGAGCCCTGTGTACGCCATTCATAAAATGCAGTTGGGAAACAGCACGGGTCCGGTAAGTAATATCTGCGTAGAGCAAATAATAAAATGTTTATCCCTGAGCGTTCGTTTACAGAAATCGTTTTAGCCTGTATATAATAATCTCACGAAAATATTTTAGAGAAATTGAAACACAGAAAAAAATTAAACACACTTTCAAATTAACCTAAAGCTTTATCTGTTAATTTGTTGTCAAATACCCCACTTAAAATAACAAGTCATTTGACTCCAATTGCAATATGCAACTACTTTCTTTTATTCTTTAGAGATATATCTTTTTGACTCCCGTAACAAACTCTAACTTAAACTTTTATTGCGGGATGTGAAGTAATATTGCTTCCGACAAGCTAAAATCGATAGGCCCACATTATTTGCTTGACTTAAACATCGCGACACGAAGCAGAAAAGCGAGGTCACTAATTATTGCGATATTTAATGGTCCTCGCAAATAAAACGTCCGCTTGTGCAATTGAAATAAACATGTCATGCGAGCTACATAGAAAAGTTATTTTTTGAACATTTTTTTATTGATAATTGTTGTTTATTTATAATATATTCTTACTTTTTCGACAACGTAAGCAGATAAATTTATTATTAGATTATCAGATTCTTATTCATCGGCTTCCTCTAATTTCAATGTTAATCGTTCGATTGATATGAACTTGACACCGCGTGCTGCTTCGAAATGAAACGGTTACCTTCATCGATACGGAACGACAAACCAATATTAATTGGTGGTATGACACCAAACGAATGTCGGGGCCAAAGTTTGTCACCTGTTGATATTGAAACCATTGCCGCGGAAACATCATGCGCCGCTTCGACACAAAGCAATCATAAGAGTTGGTTTCCCTTTTGCTGAAATAGAATTATTGGTTGGATTGTAAACAGCGATATCGATATTCCAATGTAAACGAGCCAACGTAAAAGGCCTCGAATAACTTTCGGGTATTTCGTCCGACCAAAAAAAGAACCCCGCGCAAAAAGTGCGGAGGGAAAGTTTTGACGTTGCCCGCGCTCTCTTTGTGTTTTTAAGTCATCAATCTTTGTCAGTTGGTATGAAAATAACTTGGTAGACCATCGCTAGTGCGTGGTCACCATTCGGTCACCCTCAGTTAATTAGACACTATCTAAACATGATGCGTCGTTCCAATTGTCTAAGTACATTGTCATAGAATACGCGCATTCGGCACTGATGCCATAATTGTTAGTACTTGCTGTTTAATATCATTTTTATTGACATGTATCGTATATTGTTATATGAATGAATCGAATTATTCCTCTCTCCCGCACCGGAGCTCAACGCGTAAATTTGGTAACTTTTTTTACCGCATGAAATATAAAACGCTGAATCGTCAAATATAGACGATTAAATGACAGTGCTTAAAAAAAGCACTTCCACAATCACGTTAGTTAACTGTGGTAGGGGCACGTAACAAATTTCACCTTTACATTAATGAGCAGGTCTTTACGGGAAATTACCACGACCTCTTAGAAGACCGATGTGAAATGGAATTGTAACACTTCTGCGTTTCGTCTGATGAGTGAGGTAGCCGACTATTTTTAATATAGATGGAACCTGTAAATCTACGGGTATTGTAAATGTTGCTGCTAAAGCCGCCCCCGTGGGCTGCGATTACACTTAACATCAAGTGAACGTTAAGTTAAACGAAGCGAAAGTTATATAGTTGGCAGAATTAATTCTAGTTTGCACATAAAGGCTATGTACACAGTTTCAAAATCAAAGTCAAAATTTCTTCATTCAATATAGGATTCATATAATAATGAACGTCAAAAAACTACCACCGGTTCACTAAACTAGATCTTCCAGAGAAAAACCGGCAAGAAACTCTGCAGTCTTGTTATCTTTTTTTTTTATTAATCAAAGTGTACAAAATTATATAGGTTTAAAATTAACAGCATTCGGCAGATTTGCATGTGCAGAGCAAGAGTCATTTCCACACATCCTTATCCTTAATGTATATAATAAATATACAATAATATAATGCGCACTTTCCCCTATGGTAGCTTTTACAAAATGTTTGAAATTGTTT